CTTGATTTCAGTTTTTTACTGGACCACTTTGTGTGTGTGTGTGTGTGTTTCCTCATTGAGTTTATTGGTACATTTTAGGTATACAGTACAGTTACATTCATCACTGGGATCTTGTACCTTTACATGACAGGTCTTGGTTCTCATTTTTCCCCTTGTCCCTGCCCTCCCTTCACCCCCACCTCCCCTCCCCATTTACAAACACTTTATTTCCATTTTTTCATTTTCTCCTATTTTTTTTCTTTTCCCTATTACCTTCCACTACCCTTCCCACTTACCATACACCTTTGGCTCTTTTCTTCCTATTTCACATTGTCAATTATCTCATTAGGATTTTATGTACTATTGTAGCTTTTCACACCAGAGAAACTATTAGGTATTTACACATGTGTGACTTATTTATTTCTCTTAGGAGTATGTCCTCTATATGTATCCATTTTTCTATGAATGAATCTAATTTCTCATTCTTTATGGCTGAGTGATATTCCATTCTATAGAAAAACCACATCTTCATCCAGTTTCCACCTGATGGGCAAATGGGCTGTTTCCACGTTTTAGGTGTTATATACTGTGCCGCTATAAACACAGGTGCACATATATTACTGTGATACGATTCTTTAATTCTTTTGGAAAGATACCCAGCAGAGGGATGGCTGGGTCAAATGGAACCTCTAGTCCCAGCTCTTTGAGGTATCTCCATATTGATTTCCACAGTGGTTGCCCCAGTCTGCACTCCCACCAACAATGGAGAAGGGTTCTACTCTCCCCACAGCCCTGCCGACATTTGTTATTGATTGATTTCTTGATAGCAGCCATCCTTTCTGGGGTGAGGGGGAATCTCAGTGTTGTTTCTTAATGGAGCTTATGTTAGACAAGGGCCCTGTTAGACTAATTGAATCCTTTGTGGGTGTGAAACCCAAAAGAAAGGTCGTGGACTGAACATGGTTAAGTTTGGGGGTTACTGATAGAAGAGGACAAAAGAGCCCGCAGTGCCTGCATACGTGAGGAATGGAGGCCCAAGGGATTCCCACATTTAATGGGCACATAGACGAGAGAGAATTGGCCATCGCTGGAAAGAGGACTGACAGGACGGAAGGAGGAAAACCAGGAGAGCATCGTGTAAAGACCCTGAACGAGGGGCAGTTCCGTCCTCAGAGAAAGACTGAGAAGCGTCCATCACATTTATCCTCTTGAGGGTCCTCGATCTTGATGACTAAGATGACAGAATTCAGAGTGCAGTGAGTTCCAGAATGGAGGGATGTAAAGAAAAACCAAAAGTAGGTGGAGAGAGAGCTTTCAAAAATTAGATGGGAGAGAGACTACACTTGAAGAAAGGTGTAGGCTCAAATAAAGGATTTTAATTACTTTTACTTTTTATTATAAAAATTTTCAAACCTCGAGAATGTTGGTAGAAAAATCACTTAACAGTTATTAACGTTTTACCGGGTTTGCATCATTTTGGGTTTTTGGTGAATTATTTTAAAGTAAATGCTAAGTATACCACTTCCTGTCTAAATATGTTCATGTGCTTCTCAGAAGCATACATCTTACTGCACTGACAGCCGGACCCTTCGTACCACCAAACACCTACTGAGTGGCATCTGTAGATGTCCCCAGCTGCCCTCACAGTGTGCATTTTGGCCAGACCCAGTCAGCACCGGGAGATCGTTCTGATTGGTGTCCACACTGCAGGAGTGTTTGCTTTTTTTTTGTTTTTGAGCGAATCTCTTGCTCATTTAAACGCTGCCAAGAAGCTGCCTGTGGAGGGCGAGGTTGAAGATCCTGAATTGGGGGTGAAGCCTGAGAACCCAACAGAGATAAATGGGGAGACTGATCTTGGAAGGGGGCCCCCTTCTGCCCTCCTGCCAGAGCGCGGGTTGGTGGTGGGAGCCCGGTGCGTCTGCCAGAGAGATTTGGCAGCAGGAAGCTCAGGCTGGCCTCTCCCCGAGTTCCACTTTCCCCACTGCACAGGGACAAGGGCCAGGGCCATGTTCCCTGCCCTGTCGTTGGCACCAGTGACAGTGCTTGGAGTATAATTAACATTAGCAAGCATTTTTAAAGTGAGCCTGTGAATGAATATGGTGGGTGTGAGCGCATTTGAAGGGTTCAGGAAAGTGGGGAAGGGTCAAATTACACATAACTTTGGGATTTTTTTTATGATGCAGGTTCTGTTTTAAGAACTTGTAATTAATTTAATCAGCACCCAAACCCTGTGGATTAAGTACTGCCATTACCCTTATTTCCAAATGCAGACTGGGAGTCGGGGGTTCAGTAAACTCACCAAGATCACACAGCCAGCGAGCAGACCCTGACCAGGAGCCAGTGCTGCCGAGCTGAGTCCTCTCTGGTTTGGAAAGCACCTCGCACTGTTCTGTATGTGGGCGGCTCCAGTGGTGGTGCTGCTGGTGCTGAGTGCGTGGACAGCTGTTCCTGCCCCATCTGGTGAGGACTCTGAGGATTGGCCGCATTGTGTGGAGCACAGTGGCCCTGGCCTCGGCCCCAGCCCAGTGTTCCTCTGAAAAGCCAAAGCGCATCCTTCCCCCAGGGCCCCACCCAGAAATTGAGTTAATGGGTAGCATTTTCTCATCTGTAAAATTTTGACCCATGAATGCTTCTAAACCTTTGGTCCCACTGTAGCTTGGCAGTGCTGGGATCTAGTAGGCTTGCTTTATTTTACTTGCAGTTTTGTACCTATTTATACAACCAGGCTTGCAGTTTGCATCATCTGTATTTTTCAAGGCTTTCATCCAAGCCAGAGGTTCACCAGACCTTTAAGAATGAGAGCGTGGCGATGCTTGCTGATGGGGATCCAGTGTGCTCTGGCTTTGTTGCTGTTTGGTATTGTGATTTATTTAATTTTAAAGGGAGAGATGTTGTAGAATGTAATCTAACAAGTGTTTTCCCTTTAAAAATAAAAGACGGGGGAGGAAAAAGCTTGGGGATGATTTCCTAAATCTTCAAGAAGATTTTTTTAACATATTTGTCTACATGGTCATGAGTGATTAGTGTTCTCCTCGGTGGGCCAGGCTGTCTGTGGCTGTGCAGAGAGACATTTGCTAGTGGCAGAAATTACTCAAGAGTGGAACAGCACAAGAGGGCCCAGGTAGCCATTACCCAGGGCAGGGGGCGTGCTCTGTGGGCCTCAGATACCTGCCACACACAGGGGATACCTGCACATCTCCCTCTGAGCAGACGCAGAACATAGCAGTGAGCGGGTTTGCATCACAAACTGAACAGATGTAACATCATGATTTCTTAGTAGGATTTTGCATGAACACTAGTAGCCGCAGCATCCGTGGTTGGAAGATGAGAGTGTAGTTGGTACACTCTGGCGTCTGGTATTTTGACATACTATTTGCTGTCGTCCTCAAAACCACCCTTGAGGTAGAGATGTTGGTGTTCATGCTTTAGCACATGAAACCAAAATGCCAGAGTGATTTAGTAACTCACCCAAGAACCCACAGCCGGCCAGTGGTGGCCCTGGGAGGCATGCACACACCTTTCGGGCTCACAGGCTGCCTCCTTCCCACCCCAGTACGTGGCACAGGGGCCTGCGGTCTGGCGAGGGCCAGCCAGCCAGCCACTTCTTTCCGGAAACCACCTTTCTGTTTCATAGATTGCATGTGAGATATTTTCTTCTCGGCCACGGACTATTTACCACCTGTTGTGCATTAGCAAAATGCAAGGCAATTTATTATGTTTTGAAAGGAGAAGAATAGAAAATGTTCCAGTCATCTGATTTCAAGTCTAGTGAGAAGATACATTGAGTTAAAATATACAGTTCAGTTATTGTTGGTCAGAAAGCAGGGGGTGGAAGCATCTTCAAAATTTGTCTAAATTCTGGGTGGCAAAAATCAAATTCATCAAACTCTGAGTTTTTTTTTTTTTCTTTAACGATTAGGAAGAAAAATAAGGGTTTATTCTTAAGATGATTAAACATTGCCAGGTGAGTATTAATAGTGTTTACCACAGAAAAGCTTAACAAGACATTCTAATTTTTTTTTGAGTGAGCATTGTTTTAAAAAAGAAAAAAAGCAGTCTATGTAAAACTTCAAAGAATCAGAACTACCCAAAACATGACCGTTGCCCACAGAGTGAGCATCTTTGCAGACGGCTCTGTAAATATGCACAGTGTGTACGGCGTGTGCTGAATTGGAATGATAGCATTCGTGCTGTGCATCAGTCTGGAAACTGGACACGTGTCATGACATGAAAAGGCAGTTAGCAGCCTCTTTTCCCCCATTTCAGAGATAGGAAAACCTCCCTTTCCTCTGGGATCTCGTCAAGGAGAAGCGGCTCCATCTTGTGGCTTTGGCCTGTGCTCATTACGGACTCCCCGAGGTGCGTTGTGTTTCTGCAACCATCACTGGCATTGGTGTCAGCCTGGGATTTGTCCCATGGACTCTGGAAACCAGCGCAGGCCAGAGAATTCCAGTGCCCTCCGGACCAGGGCTTCCTTTGCACTCCCTTTGCACTTTCGCTCCTGTGGGCTGCTCAGCTCTCGACAGCAAAGTCTGAGAAATAGAAAACCGAGGCGTCTAACGCTGGACTCTGCGCTTTCCTGTTTAATCTTGACTTTGACACCATTAAAGAAGCTGACTTCAGTGGCCAACTCACTTGTCTCAGCCACGTAAAGTCATCACCAGGGCTTTGGCTGTAGAAGATGGAGGTCCTAGATAGTGCGTAGTTCACTTAAAAGGGAGCTCAGACAGGGCCCGTGGCTTGGGCTTCTCCTGCCTTGCACTGTCATATACCCGCATTCTGACTTCACAGATTAGGATGTTAGAGAAAAATGTCTTTGGAGGTAAAATTGAACTTCCTGTCCGGGTGCACACGGGTGGCAGATCCAGTGGGCGCACAGTCCAAATGTGGTCACTTTCTCTAGCCGACCTTTAACAGGGATTATCTCTGTAAAAACACCAGAGGCAGAAAAGTTGTGTTTTACATCTAAATAAGCCTGTTCTGATTGGCTATTTTTTCTCTTTTCTCTCTCTCCTTTGCAGTATATTGTGGAATGTCATGGGATTACCCTTCTTCCCCAGTTCTTGGGCATGTACCGGCTCAATGTGGATGGCGTTGAAATATATGTGATTGTTACGAGAAATGTGTTCAGCCATCGTCTATCTGTGTATAGAAAATATGACTTAAAGGTGAGCTTGACTTTACTAATCTTTGTTAAGTGAATGGAGCTTACTCGTCTACCTATAAATGTTGTGATTAATCTTATAAAATGCTTGGGAGATGCTCAAAGGTTAAAAGTACCACCCTTGCGCCAACTAGCAGTGCCCCTGCAGGTGAAACAACAGGGGCTCACCGCTTCACCAAAAGTCACCTTTACGTATTAGAAACATCCTGTCTATGTATTCATTACCAGTCCCCTGCCAGACACTGTGCCAAGCAAGGGGATGGTGTGATGAACAAAACAGACTGAGTCTGCTCACAAAGGGCTGATCGTTTTGGTAGAGAAAGACAGACAATAAGTAAAAGTCGTTGTCATAGTATAACTAAGGAAGTTGTAAGTGCTGTTGACAGAAATAAGGAAGAGGTGAGGTACTGAGGAGACACTGGGGCAGACTTGAAGGAGATGAGGCAAGAGCTGAGGAAAGATTCCCGGCAGAGGGAATGGCCCTGAAAAATTGCTTCAGTAATGAGAGCGAGAGAGAGCCCTGGAAATTCTGAGAGCAGACTGATATGATCTGACTTCTATCACTGACTCGGGGGAGAATGTCCAAGTTAGAGGTTGGCTTACTATAACCTGCCTGTATGCCGAAGCCGACTCAAGGGCCATTTTTATAAAGTTTTATTGGCATACCATAATGCCCATTGCTTCTGTATTGTCTGTGGATGCTTTTGCACTATTAATGGCAGAGTGGCGGAGTAACCATAGAGTCTCTTATGAATAAGAAAGACTGAAATATTTTCCTTCTGACCCCTGGAAATGTTTGTTCACCTCTGGTCTTTGGCAGCTGGTTCTCAAGATTTTTTGGTCTTTGAACCCTTTTGCATTCATTATGTAGGCTGTATCTGTGGATGTCTATAATATGAGAAATTAATATGAGAAATAATGAAAAGTTCATTGTGTATGAAAAGTAACTTTCAAAAGCAAAACAGCAGAACAGGTAGCATTGTTTTGCATTTTTTGCAAATATGTATGAATATAAGATATCTCATTGTGCTGTCTATTGCATTGTTATTTGACTGAAATAAATGAAGAAAATTGACACAAGTAGTGTAGGTAGTTGGAAAGGGGAGTTAATAACTTTCAGATCCTTGATATTCTTTGATACTCAGTGAAATGGACAGTTGATAATTTCTCAAAGCTCAGTTACATTGAGAATCTGAGATCACATCAGTGAACTTTTTACTTGTTTGTTTTAATTCCCCGAAGTACTTTACAGTGGTACCTTGGTTCACAAACTTAATTCCATCCACAATTCTGGAAAAGATGGTCACATTCGTGTTTGTCCCCTGATGCAGAGTTCTCAAATAAAAACAAAACTTTTGCCAAATGCGTCTGTTTGCAAACAAAAGCGTCTGTGAGCCAAGATACCGGTGTATTTTGCTAAGTCAGGCATATTTTCACTGCAAAGGTATAGTAGCATTTCCTTGCAATTACAGTCTCATTATTCAAAGCCATTGGTCTCTCCGTACACCAGCCCGAAAGTACGATTTTATAGCCCTGCACTTGTTAGAAACATTGGTTCACTGAGTTAAATAGCCCTTCCAAATATTGACACATTTCATTAGGTAGAATCAAAAAGCCAGGTGGCCCATGCCTGTAGTCCTAGCAGTAGGGTCTAAAGTTCAAGTCCAGCGTGGGCGACCTAGCAGGAACTGTCTTCACAGTGTAAGAAAGGTTGGGGATGTGGCTCAGTGTGAAGGCCCCGGTTTCCATCGCCAGTACAGTTGCGGTTTTTGTTATTGTTTCTTTCAAGTCACATTAGTGTCACCACCAGTCTCACTGGAGAAGTCATTCGTGTATTGGAAGCCGGCAAGCTCAGGGCAGATACCAGTTCTTCACAATTGTACTTTTCGCTTGAAAGCGCTCTTTCAGGTTTGGCAACAAATCGTGTCATTTGTTCCCTGTGAAATGACAGCACACACAAGGCTGGCCGCTTTGTTCATTGTTGAGCAAATATTTGTCAGTTTCTCAGATCTGAACAAATACCGATTGTCAGTTTCATGACGGGGTAGCCAGTTCACCTCAGAAGTGCAGCTGAGAGACCGCTCCTTTACAAGTAGAAGCTTCACGCACATTTCTTGCCCAGAGCAGGAAGACGTGCGTGCTCCAGTCAAGATCTAATGAAATTCATCTCACTGCCTCATCGGGGGCATTCTTCAGTGATACTGGGGTTTTATTTTGGTTAATAAGACAAATACTGTTAGTACCGTTTCACGTCACTGCTTGATTTGGGCTAGTTGCCCGCAGCTTCACCACCCCGTTATTTGCTGGCATGGTCCGTGTGAAGACCGAGACTGTGAAAAGACAAGTAATGTCTCGGTGTTATTGTAAAAAAGCAGTTGGACTCCGCAGACCCCGGATTCCAAACCACGCTTTGACAAATGCTAGTGGGAAGCGGTGTGGAGTGTGGACTCACACCCAGCCTCGCCCTGCTCGAAACCTCAGTCTTGCCTGCAGCCTTTCTGCTGTCCTCACTTCGTGGGGATGGGGATCCCAGTGTCCTTGCCGCTGTGGTCAGCTCCATTCTTTCAGGAAGCTTTGCAGTGCTGATTGTCAGAAAGCCGGTGTGCCCACTGAAGCGGGTTTGCTGACCTGTTCGCTGTGAGAGGCAGAACCTTTACGAGCCTGTTTCTTCCTCTGTTAAGACAGGGCTGATTTCACCCAAGTTTGCAGGGCTCAGTGGTGGATTAAATGAGAGCAGAGCATGTCACTTGCAGCCGAGGACACAGCACCGGGACCTGGCCGTCACCCTGTCCCCCACCCCGTGTGCCAGTGCCCATGGCGAGTGTCCATGCTGTTTGTTTCCTCCTTCGAAATGCCCAAGACCGTGCCTCTTAAAGTACACACTTGTAAGCATATCTGGGTGTAAATTGGGCGTGCTTTTAATTTGCTTTGCGTTTCATGATTTCCTCTCCCTCTTCGGCTTGTGCGTTGGATAAACTCTGTTCCCGCCAGTGCGTCCTCCTGTGGTAGGACCTGACCGTGGGGCATCATTTCACAGCTCCAACTCTTACTGCAGTTTTTCCTTTTCTATTCTTAATTTTTTTCTTTGCGTTAATTTGAACTTGGATGAGTCTTTTCTTCCCTAAGCCTGTGATCTGCACTCACATAGAATTGAGGCTTTCCTGAGAATCGGGAGTAAGGAGAATTACATTGCAGGAGGGAAATGCACACAAACCCACAGCTTGGTTAGGAATACAAAGTAGATAGTTCTTCCTCTGCCCTGCAGCATAGACAGTGCGCGTGCACTGCAGATGCCCTTTCCTTTTTAATTTGGTGGACTTGGTCAGGGGTCACCGTGTGCAGGACACTGTTCGTGGCCCCTGCTCAGGAGTCACTGAAGGATGTTGCAGACTACAGGTGGTGGGTCTGGCTGGGCACTCCTGTGCAGTGCTGTGGAATGGTCCTGGGATCTCCCTCGTGGGTGATTCCTGGGGGACACCTGCATTTGCTGCGTCAGCATACTGCTCCCCTGCCTTGTCCCCAAGAAACATTGAGCCTCTCTGGGCTTACAGCCACCATTCCTAAGGACCCCAAGCGCCAGAGCAGTGGAGAACTGAGTCTGGGGGAACCAGGCCTGTTCTTGGCCTCTTCCCTGTGCAAGGAGCTTCTTCAGCCCCAGAATCTGCACGTCAGCACCCGAGCTGCTTGCTAAGAGCTCGTGAGAGTGTACAGGTTTGGATCTCTCTGCAAGTGGCTGAGCTAGGAGCTGCTTTTACTTTGCCCACATCAAATACAGGTTTCCTTTAATGATTGACTAACCTAATTATCCCAGGGCAGTAGCTGTCTAGTTCAGAAGTGGTCAGGTTAACAGAAAGCTCCACTGACCCAGTATTGGCTCAGATATCCATGGCTGGAGAGGAGAGGAGACCAGTAATCGGCTGTGATCTTCTCCACCCACTTAGTAAAGGTGCAGCATTTGCAGCGCACAGGACCACAGAGCACCAGAGAACAGGTTCTGGGCATGTCAGGTGGGAATGTAGGAGTCCACTGGACCCTTTATTTCCCACCTCCTCTTCTCACCTAAACTCTTCCACAAATAAAGTGTGTGTTTGAACTCTGCCCTCAAAGCCTCCCTGTTGGCCTGGGTGTTGGGCTTATTCGTCTCCAGCCACCCAAAGCTGAGGTGCTTTTGAAAACCTGTGAGGTGGGCTAAGTATTGCTGGGTCGAGGACTGTGTCGTTGCCCACTTTCCTTCTCTTGCTGAGCACAGGGCCTGGCACAAAAAAGGGGACAGATAAACATGTGTCTCTGAGGTAACAGAGTAAGGGGTCAGAAAGTGCCCTCGGGACTGTGTGGGGAATGGCAGGAGAAAGTCCCTCAGAAGGGGACAGATAAACATGTGTCTCTGAGGTGACAGTCAGAGTAAGGGGTCAGAAAGTGCCCTCGGGACTGTGTGGGGAATGGCAGGAGAAAGTCCCTCAGGGACTGGGACCCTGGAAGAAGAGTCTCAGAGAAACCAGGTGAGGGTAGGCTGTGCCCACATCTGGAAGACAGCGTGGGGAAAGGACACTCCGGGTCCCAGCAGTCTCTATAGCCACCTGATGGCCATTCCCCCTTTGAAGACAGTGAGACCCGCCATTTTTGGTAACGGATGCAGTTGATGTGTCTTTGATCCAGTGGTTAAGAAGTTATTGCTCGGGTGATTCTCAGGTTTTCTGATTTGCAGCAGGTAGATAAGAACCAGAGAAAGACAAGCCAGGTGAGCACGACAGAGTCAGTGCTGGAGAAGAATGGGCGGTGGACGAGAATCCCTGCAGGAAAGGCCACAGACCAGCCTAGAGCTGTCGTACAGTAGGGGACGGAGCTCAGCTGGGGTGGCCCCGAGCAGAGCGCTATTTGTCTGTGGCCGTGCTCTGTCCAGGGCCGTTTTCGTGACGTGTGAATCTCCGCACCTCATGCATGCACATTTTTATTATTTCTTTGTGTTTCAGGGCTCCACAGTGGCTAGAGAGGCGAGTGACAAAGAAAAGGTAAGCACCGTGATGCGCCCTCTCCACATGCAGGCATGAAACCTCTCCTGTTGATTCTTTCTCCTCAGCTTCCACCACTGGGATTCCCCCCCTCCCTGCACTGCCCCAGTGCAAAACACACTCTGAACTGAGGAGTGTTCTCCCTCACTTCTCTTCCTCAGGTTGTTGAGTAATGAAGCAGTGGTTAGTTAGAACTGTGGCTGAATGAAACGTTTTCACACGCAGCAAGCTCTGAAAACACAACCAGCATGGTACACTTAACAAAGATGGCAGCCAGGGCTCAGAAAACATCCTGCAGGCCAGGGAACGGATCCCAAGGCCACGCCACCCGCCACTAACCACATGTGGTCTTGAAAAAGTGTCTTTGCCTCTGGAAAGTCCATTTTCTCACCTCTAACCTACTGGCTTGGATGAGCTTCAAAGTCTTCTCTAAAATGTGAAGACACAGTTGGTATATTTTCTCGTTTTAAAAAATGAGGGATTAAGAGACCACATCTTTTTGTCTTTTCCTGACCTAATGAACATTAATTACATCATATTTAAATCACATTTAGTTTTAATATTATACAAGATTATAAACAAAGTCAACTTCAAGTGTTGGTCTGAATATGAATTGGGCCAGTAGTGCTGCCACCTGCTTTATAAGGGCAAGGTCCCGAGTTCAATCCCCGGTACCAAAAAGAAAAACAGTTGGGGGAGTAGCTTCCTGTATGTAAAGCTAAACCAGCTCTAGGCAACACGTGTTTACATGCGAGGCACCTCTGGCCCCCACGTGGTCCCCACCAGCTTTGTGGTTGTTACTCTGCAGCGTGTGGGCCCAACCCAGGCCTTGCTGTGCACCAGGCCAGGGCCTGACAGCTGAGCCACGCCCCCAGCCCTGCTCCTCAGCCTTGGAAATTGCCCTTTCTTAACTATTCTGTTTGAAAACCAGCCTCAGGAGTTTTTATTTGGCTTTGTTTTTAATTAAATTCTTTTAGGACGATACCACTTGGTTTCGATTTGAATTTTACAAATTTGCGCATCTGTTTTCCTTTCTGTGCTTCTTCAGGGCTTGGTGTTTGGGATCGTTCTTCTTTCAGCAGGCAGAGGCTCCAGAAAGCCACCTCAGCTCTCTTTGTGTGTTACAGATGCTCCCTGGGAAGGCGCAGGGAGAGGAAATAGCTTGCAGTGTGGAATTAAGAAGGGATATAAATTGGCAATAAACAGAGCGCGCCTACCCTGGTGATAGGATGTCATCTCTCTCACAGTTTATTTATAACCTTGAAACATTTATTCAACTGTAATAGGTCAAATATAGTGTATTGATGAAGCCCGTCTCTTTAAAATGTTGGGGTCTTAAGGATTTTTTTTAATCTTTCGTTTCCTTTTTCTGCCATCTTTCAGGTTTTCTTTCCATGAGTTAACATTTTTTACTTTAACAACAGCAACAAAAATACCAGTCTTTGTCTTCACAAATAGAACCATAAAGACTGGTAGAGCCGTCACTGCTACCTTAGGTTTGAAGTATGTGAGGAAGGCTAAAAATATTTTTTCTGCCTTTTAACCTTTTAGAGGTAAAATGAAACGATTTGCAAAAAGGTTATTTTTCATTACTATCACTGTATAGTGATATTCCTCGCAGAATGATTGTTACAGTGCAAAAATGATTTCAGAGACTCCATGGACAGGGTAATCTTAATTTGTTATTAGTAATCACATTTCTTACTCTTTTTAGGTTTTCTTTCATTGGTGTCATTGTAACTGTTTTAATTCCCCATACTTTTAGCTTGTTGATGACAAGTTTTGAAACTGTCATCTCAAATATTTAGTGATACAGTGCCGACAAGTTCCATCCCTTGGATTTCAGCTTGACACATAATTAGTGCAGTTTGTATTAGCATAATAATGAAGATGGAACGGAAAGAAATAAAGTTATATTCTAACAATAATGGAATCACTTTCATGGCAACAAGTATCAGAACATGCATGTACAGATGTCTTGAATTTTTTTAAAAAGAGCAGAACAGTGCTTTAAAAAAAAAAAAGAAACCCATTGTCAGATTCTGACAGCTGCTATGACTTGTTTTATTCCTTAATTCTTTCCTTTTTAATGGAAGGGCATCTTCCATTCATGGCTCCAGCAGTTTCGCCTCCTCTAAATGAGACAGAGAAATGCGAATCTCCCTGGTGGTCGATCTTTTCACAGCTGCGCTGCAATTCCAGTGTGACATCAAATTAGTAATTATAGCTGAGCGGACTGCTTTTTTACAAATGACAGTCTTAGCATGCTGCCAGCTAGCAAGCTACTCAGCAGGGAATCCAGGGAAGTAAAAGAAAACATAACGGGGCTCACTTGATCTCTGGGGGCTTTGACCTGAGTCTAAAAAGCCCATGTTCTTAGAGAGTCCTGGGGCTTTACACAAATATGCATTTTGTTCATCATTCTGCGCAGTTCTTCTCAAAACTCATGTCTGATTTTGTTAGATAAAGTAAAGCCTGTGTGATGGAGTCACGGGGCCACAAGAAGAAGATTCCGTTTAACATACAACCTTCTCCCTGGAACCCATTTGAAAGGAAACAGCTGCCCTGCAATTGGCATTCGTGTAACTACATTGGCAATAATCATTGTTGACACTTTGATAATGGGCTACAAAAAGCCACCTTGTCGATTCTTATGCATTGTAAATTGCACTAGCAATTAAGCAACTGTCACCTGCGCTGACATTTTACCTATTACTGACTGAAGGTTTGGCAGAATTAATCATCAATACCCTCACATCTAAAAATGCTCTCCTAAAGGAGTCTTCAGCATTGCTTTTGTGGTCTTTACATTGTAACAAGTTACAACGGAGCGCTGCCTCCCTCTAGTCCTTAGGCTCCGGTTAAGTTGAGATAGGAAAGAGGGCAGCACAAGGGGAAGGTACAAAAGCCTGGCAGTGTGTCCTGGGAGCTAGGACAGAGCTTCCCTGTCCCCTGTGGGCAGTCGCCCACTAGGGTTACCCACCCTCAGTTCGGCTGAGGCTTTCACTTTTCTGAAAACCCTCTTATACCAGGATGGCCGAGAGCCCTTCCCTCTGCCAGCCGGCATTAAGCCCACCTGTGTCACTACCCAGCGTGCAGTGCAAAGCTTCCCTGCAGGTGGAATCAGGGTTGATTTCTCAGACCGTAAATTAAAGGCAGAACCAGTAAACTTCCACCTCGTGGACCAGAGAGGTTCTGCACAAGGAGGATGCGGGGTAAAGACACCAAACGGAAGGATGGATCAGACACCCAGCCCCTGGGGAGAGTGGGGGAATGACATTCATGGAAGTTCGGGGATCTGTAAAGTTCAAGAAGAAGGATTTGATTTATCATTGGCTCTCATGCTTTAGCGTCTATAAGAATCTCCTTGTTTCTCGCCAAGCTTTTTTGGACCCTCAGAAATTTCTTCAGTAGGACACCGCCCTGGGAAGAGTCCTGGGCTTGATGTTCGCCAAAATCCAGACTGTTCTACATATAGCTTAAGGTGACTTCCGTTACTGAGGGCAATCTGGCCGCCACTGACGCACTAAGGCGTCTGCCTATCATCCCAGCAGGTGATGGGGCAGGCCCTCAGAGCCTTGTATGCAGTGGAGTATTAGGCACAAAGAAGGATACATTTCCCTCAAGTGGGAAGACAGATGGGACTTGAGGCTCTAATGTTAAGTGAAATAAATCCAACCCAGGAAGGTAAATATCTCATGATTTCTTTTAGATGAGAAACCCAAAGTAAAATTGAAGAGCAGAATAAAAGAGAGACAGTAGGAAACAGGAATGCAGACTTTTCAAAGGTGACCAGGAGAGCCTGGGAAAGGGGGGAAGGTACTAAATATGTGTTAATTCCCCAAAAGGAATGTAATTATTACATATCACCAACATGTGGTTTACACCATGAGTGAAGCCCCTGGAGCGCCCTCGCCTCCATCCAGGCGCTGTACCAGCGCCACCACCATCCAGTTTCGGTTCATTTGGGGGCTTTCCTGACAGCAGCCGTGAGGTGTGAAAGAAGAGTCACGGAAGACTTGTGACATCTTGCAGACTTTCATCCATAGGCCAGCACTGAATACCTCGACTTTTTGGCCTGCTGGATGGAAATGGTGTACAGACTCAGTTGCCTTAGATGACTTTATTTCACCGAGATGAACTTAGTGTCACAAGCACACACAAAACAGTACTATGAGATGTAGGAATTTTTTCTTCTTTTTTTCAAGCTACCAACCCTTACTAAGCTGGTTCTAGGAAAAGCTGAGGTGGAAAGAAGTCATCTGAAATTTAGTATGCGGCCTGAATTTGAGCCAAGCTGCTGCAGATGTATAATCCTTCTAATAATGATTTTCACTAGATTAGTATTAAACAAGAAGTAGTGGAACTTAGTGAACTGGTTGAGTTTTTTGTTTGTTGAGTAGCGATCGAACTTGGGGCCTTCACACTGAGCTCTGTCTCCAGCCCTGCCTGCCCCCTTTAATTTTGAGACAGATTTTCACTAAATTGCCCAGGTGGGCTTTGAACTTGGAATCCTCTTCTTCAGCCTCCTTCACTGCTGGGGTCCCACGCGTGCGCCACCATGCCCAGCTTGCAGCAAATCTACATGGCCCAGTTGTGCATACAGTTTGTCACCTCACGACTTGGGGAAGAAAACCAAGTTGTCACCTCTGACATGACCATTTAGAGTTTTGTTCCTTAAAAGTGTGACGGTATCAGAAAAGAAATCAATTCCATGTTTTACATGCTAGCTTAAGAATTTTAGGGAAAAGAACTAATAACTGGGTCTCTCCAACCATAGCAGTTACAAATGGTAGAATTACAGTACAGCTTACCCGGTTTCATGCTTCTAAATTAGAGCGCTGTTTCACAAGTAAAACATACCACATGTTGGGATGTATTTTCTTTCCGTGTTTTACATGCAGACACACATTCAGTTAAAATTGTGAGACTCTCACATCTGGAAGGTGGCCTCAGACATACACCTTCTTGCTTCCTTCATTACGGAAATCAGAAGTCAG